TGAAGGATAATCATGTTTTGGGTGTACTATTCCTTTAAGGAGCAGCGTAATGCAGTGAAGCAGCAGGCTGCGTCCTACCTGTAGGTGGCAGGTTTCTGCTTTGATGATTTACGCCAAATTAGGCTGAGGATTTTTAATTTAGATTTTTATTGCAAAAAATTAAACCATAAAACAAGATCTGGTCTCACAGTTTACCTCTATGAGAAGCTAACCAGCTTAATTATGCATTTTCTAATCAGATAGTCAAGAAATGAACCTTTGGGTGTTTAAAAAAAAGGATAAATTACTGCTAATATAATAGTTTAGCCATTTTAGAGGTGAAAATTCTTTTAGGGATCAATGAGAGGGAAGAGACACTTAGCTGTGGAGCATTCTTAGCAGAGTTTGGTCAAATAAAGCCTCTTTTATTTAAAGAGATTTAAGATGCATTGCTCACAGTCACAGTTTGATCATTTAAAAAGCCGTTTTTGAAGCTTGGAGCTTCAGCGACGAACATTAACCCAACATGTGTCCTCTGTGTCTCCAGGCTGAACTGTGAGGGAGGAGACGGCGCCTGGTGTCCTAAAGAACAGAGGGAGTCTACGGCCTCCGAGTTCCTGCAGGTTTGTTTCTGCTCCTTTAAAGCAACAAGGTGAACAGCAGCTCAGGGTTCAGGTTTTAAACGACCTAGACATGGAGGGAAAGGATGATTAGCGTCTCCGTAATACTCAAACATTCCAGGATGAAGATCGTGTCTGATGGGAAGTGATGCTGCTGATAAAAACAAAAACAATCAGATCTGCAGGGAAGAAAGGAACTGAAAATGAAACGTTAACGTGAAATGTTTTACCTCCCTAAATCTCTACAAATGTTTGGGTTTTCTGCTCAGATCGACCTGCGCAGACTCACCTTCCTGACGCTGGTCGGCACACAGGGCCGGTGGGGCAAAGGTCAGGGGAGGGAGTTCTCTCAAGAGTACCGTCTGAACTACAGCCGGGACGGACAGCTGTGGAAGTCCTGGAAGAACCGGCTGGGAAATGAGGTGAGCGACCCAAAAACGACAGCCACCAAATAACTGAGGTGGAAGCATGGCGGAAGCAATTAATCAGTTTAATCGATTACTCAAATAATCGTCAACTAATTTAGTAATCGATTCATCGTTAACTGGAGTATAGTTAACTGACAGAGAGACCCACTTAGAGCAGGAATTATATTAAAACTGTAAAAAAAAAAAAAAATGCAAACATTTTTCATTTAAATCATCATCTGTCACTCTCCTCTATTCAGACCTCCTCAAGTGGAAAAGTTTTAATTTCTCTGGGTTTGATTTTGTAAAAAGCCTTTTTTGGCTAACTGATTATTATCAAAAAATAATCAACAGATTAATCGATTTGCAAAATAATCAGTTGCAGCCTTATGTGAACAGCATGGGCGTCTAAGGCAGGAACCTCTGCAGGAGGAAACTACAGGTTAGTGACCATGTCTATGTGGCGGAGGATGATAATGAACACGTGAGTCACTAACCTGTTGGTTCAAGACAGCCGGCTGCCAACAAGACGTGGCAGACGACCCCCAGACAGTCCCAGACTATGATTTCCTGGAGGATGGAGAACAGGCAGGAGATCAGAAACAAGCAGATGAACGAATGAAGGAATAATCCAGGGGGCAAAGACGAAGCCAATGTCGAAGACGTGCTCTGTAGTCAGAACCAGGAGGTCAGAGGTCTGAAGGAGTATTGAAGGGAAGTCCAGAAGAGAGTCGCGAAACAGTTCCAGGTTTGGTTCACAGGCAGGCAGAAATCTGGGGAGAGGTCAGGCAAAAAGATCAGACAGGCAGGGTCAGAGGTCCAGGCAGAATGGGTCAGGATCAGGAACTCTATCCAAAGGCTTGAATTATCTGGCACTGATGACTGGGAGTAACCTGACTACATCAGATGGATTTGCTCCGCATATCCATCTGGAAACCTTCCGTAGAAGTAATTTTGGGAAGGGGCGAAAATACTGGTTAGCTGATTGGCCTATGTTGGTGAAAGACGGGCCAAATAAACCAATCAGATCAACGAAGCATATGACGTACTAACAGAGCGACGACGAAAACACAACCACAAGCCAGGCTACTCTTGCCAAAACCAGTCGGGAGAAGAGCAAAAACATCTTTTCCTCTGAGAAAAGCCTCCAGAGCAGTGTTTTGCTCTTCTTTCAGTGAAGAAATACTCTGTAATTCCCATAAAACTTGCTCGATAGCCACGCTAACGCTAGTTTCATCGGCTGAAGCCGCCATGTTCTTTAGACTGAACTGTCGCGCTTCTCGTTGCGTCACACCTCAACCCGCCTCAAAGCCAACGCTGATTGGACGTTCGTTTGGTGAACGGCTCCAAATTTTCTTTAACGGAGAGTCTCCAGACTGATTTGCGAGTGAAACCTTGAAAGCTTGCGAGATCAGGATGGTCTCACGAGGCTAGACTGGGAGTAGGCAGGTTAAATAGAGGCTGAAGTTGGTGGATCACATGAGCAGGTAATGAGAACTAGGCGGAGCTTAGCACGAGAATGGAATTAGATCATGACAAGTGGTTGTAGAGTTCAAACTGGGTCCCTGATTCCTGCTCATCAGTCACTGTTTCTGGCCTCCAGGGTTCAAAATGTTCCTCGTTGTTTATTTTAGACAAGAAATAAGGACACAACTTTATTGTTGGTCCAGATTATCCAGTGTTGAACTAATTGTGGTTCTAAAGGCTCTAAAATGTTTTTTTCTAATAGATTCACACAGATTTCTAACCCTGATTCTGCCTCAGTTCTGGCTATTATAGGTATGGCATTCCTTCAGCTGTCTGATCTATTTAAACATGCAGCTGTTAATCCTTTGACAATAAGGTTTGTTTGAGATCGATCTTGAAATTTCTACTTGCTGGAAAAAAATCATGAGTGAAAACAGTTTATACTCACCTTCATGTATATGTGTGTTTTTTATTCCGTTGGTTTTAATCATATTTATCCCATGAAGGTTTTTTTTTTATAATTTTTTTTTATCAACATGCTTTACATGAACGCCTCTGGAATCTGAGCTTTGATTCTAGATCTCGCGGCTAGTTTTTAATTTCCGATACAATGTCGATATTGCAGTTTGAGAAATTTGCCGATACCGATATAAATTTTTTAATTTATTTTTTGTTTCATATGTTGTCATTCATGGAGTGAAATCATATACAATCATTGATGATGGTGATGATGATGATGATGTTTCTTCTAATTTTAGGTTGTTCTGTGTCTTAAAAACACAAAAATCTGTTTTTACTTTGTCCATAATCTTTAATCTGTAACATTTCTGTCGTATAGATCTAACAGATGTAGATAAAAAGTAAATCAGCTTTCTGTCTGAGTGAATGCCCAGCTGTCAGATCAGTGAACTGTCCTTTATTGTGGACGTTTCCTCCCCAGATCAGCCTCAGATGTCTTTCCCTCATATTTCCACTCAGGTCCTGGAAGGAAACAAGGACACCTACGGCGTTTCTTCCAACGACCTGAAGCCGGCCATCATCGCGCGTTTCGTCCGCGTCATCCCTGTCAGCCGGGCCACCACGGTGTGCATGAGGGTGGAGCTTTACGGATGTCCCTGGGAAGGTACCCGACCAGTTGGACACATTTTGGAGCTTTGAACTCCAGAACCAGACCTCCAGAGTACTGCCTGTTTTCAGACCCGACCCTCCTCTAACAAACCCAAAGTAAAGGTTCTGAAGGACCTCCTCGGTGTCGGTGGAGGTCATTTAGACCAGAACGTCCCTGGAGGACGGACTGTGGACGCCACTGGTTTAGACACTATAGAGCATTTTAGACGGTTCTCTGTGGATATCTTTAAATAATGTAATTCTATGGAGCTAAATTAGGGCCGTAAAGTTGGTTTAAAATAATAATTTGAACCCGAAAATGTTTTTTTCTCAAATAAAATGTATACCTGAAATAGTTTGTCCAAAACCACAAAAAAAAACGAACGTAAAAAAGTTTTGCTAAAAAAAAACACAACAGAAAAACTCTCAGATTCAAGTTTTTTGCAGTTTGTTACTCCGAGTTAAACTTTTGTCCCTTTAGCTCCGTACAATCTGAAGCAGAACCCTGCAGGTTTCCTCCTCTGTTGTCTCCAGATGGCCTGATCTCCTACAGCGCTCCAGAGGGACAGCTCATGGCGTTACCTGGGAATCCCCACATCAGTCTCAACGACTCCACGTATGACGGCGTCCGTGAGAAGCGGTGGGTCTCCTTAGACAGCAAAGGGATCCAGTTTCTCCGTTCCCCCTGCCTCACAGTCGTCTCTCCTGACAGGAGGCTGCTTGGAGGTCTGGGTCAGCTGACGGACGGCGTGACGGGACTGGACAACTTCCTGAGGACCCACCAGAACAACGTGTGGTTAGGGTACGACTACCTGGGCTGGAGGAACGACACGCCGGGGACTCAGGGATACGTGGAGATGGAGTTTGTGTTTGACAAACGGAGGAACTTTACCTACATGAAGGTTTGTAACGTGACCCGTCTTTTCAGATTAAAGTTGTTTCATCATGTTGTTTGAAACATCCATAAAACTGGTAGAGATCTGGCAGCCATTAATGCTTCCTCTTACATAAGGAAATAATAAACAAGTGAAGAGGTTGCACAAATGTTGTTAAAACTGTTTTTGCCTCAGATTTTTAAACTAAGACTTTTGACAGAAGCAGGATTCAATTAAATTCTATTCAGTTTATTTCTATAGCGCCAATTCACAACACATCTCATCTCAAGGCACTTTCCAGTTCACCAGATCATCCAGTCAGATTGATTCAAAGTTTTCTATCTAAGGAAAACCAGCTGATTGCATCGACTCATTGACTCTTCAGCAATCCCTCACACTAAGCATGCTTGTAGCGACAGTGGAGAGGAAAAACTCCCTTTGAACAGGAAGAAACCTCCAGCAGAACCAGGCTCAGTGTGAGCGGCCATCTGCTGAGGCCCACTGGGGTTCAAGGAGACAGAAGCAGACATAGAAAAAGAAGCATAGATACAAAAGGCAACTGTCAACCAGCTCCACAGGCGGCCCCGTCCAGGAAACACACAGCCAGGCAGACGAGCTCCGAGCCAGCTCCCATGTCAGAGGATGAAGAGAGCACATCCAGTTAGTCACAGTCAGAGAAACAGGACTACACTGGAAAACAGGCCAAGCTCCAACATCTAGAAACAAAGGTGTTGATGGCAGCAGCACAGCTGATATTTCTCTCCAGGATGGAGTCACAGCCAAACAGGAACAGACCAGATGAAGCTACTATGAGAAAAAGCAGAGAGAGCAGAACGTTAGAGATTGAACTAACAGATTCTGCAGAGTGGGAGAATAGAGATAGAATGAAGCAGAATGATGAAAAAGGGGTCCCTATGTCCTCCAGCAGTCTAAGCCTATAGCAGCATAACTATACAGATAGCTCAGGATAACCTAAAACTGGTAGTTGGTTCCACAGGATAGGAGCCTGATAACTAAAAGATCTGGCTCCCATTCTACTTTTAGAAATTCTAGGAACCACTAGTAAACCTGCAGATGGAGAGTGGAATTCCAGGAGTTGTGCTTTTTGTCTGAAAATCCTCTAGAATAATATCCAGCCTTCAGTTTGGGACTAAAACCAGAGCAGGATGATGGTCCAAGGACCGTTCTAAAACCATCTCTGAAGGATGACCTAATCGTTCCTCATCCTTAGTCCTTTCTGTTACCAGTTGTACCAGTTTTGCTGAAGAAAAGTAGCCCAGACATGTCTGATGATTTTCCAAACATCCAAACGTGCCTCAGGATCATCATACCTCAAAGCATTGAGAGGACATCTGTAGATGGTATTGCCGACAGGCAAACAAACTGAGTCGCCGAGCGGCTGAATAGGGGAATTCTCGTTGACGCACTTGCTATTCATAACTTCATTCCAAGCTGCAGTTAAGATCCTTGTACTGTTATTGATCTTCAAAACATCATGCAATGCAGCATAAAAATCAATCCACAGGTTCAAGCTGTAATTGAAGGCAAAAGAGAACAAAAACCATCCAAAGCTTAAAATGGACAGAAAAAAGTAGACTTTCCCCATCACCCACACACTGGAACTCCCCAGGTGAGCAGAACAGGTGATCTTACAAATCAATGCTGACACTTCCTGATCAAAACTAAGCCTATCCACCAAAAGTGGACTGTAACACCTCCCACCTCCAAAAACCTGCCACATCAAAGACATTTAATGGGTGATCTGACTAAATGGCTTCCATCACTGGTGCTAAGGTTGTTTCCCACCAGTTGAGGCAAGCTTCTATTCCAGAACTTGTTTCTGGTGGAACCAATAAAAACTTGGCCCCAATCTTGAAAATCTGGAGCTGAAAGACCAACTGGGACCATTAACCAAGCAGAATAATAACTTCTACATTTAAAATATGTCCGGATCATTTATTTATATGTTGGAGCAGGTTGTGTGATTTGAGCTGATAGGGAACTTTTTATCCTCATTAAGAAAATAGTCGAGCCGGTTCTAAAGTCGGTCAAAACCCATTTATCCCTTTATTTTGTACGAAAAATAGACTTTAAACTACCTCAACGAGCATGTATCCCCTTAGTCATGTACAAAAAAAACTATTTAATTACTCACTTTTTGGTGTTTTTTGCAGCGCATGGTGATCTAACCTTAAATTATTTCTTTGTACATGACTAAAGGGATACATGTCCATTGAGATAGTTTAAAATCAATTTTAAACTAAACGGATAAACGTAAATCTGAGGTCTTGAACATGCGTATTGACAGAACTCCGGTTCTAAGCAGCACATAGAAGTCCTGATTGAAGCAATGTGTGTCAATGATGTTCAGAAAAGCAAACTGGTTGATCTTAAACAATATTAAAAGATCTAGTTGATGATCAGATAAAAATGAACCTGGTCCTTGGATGTCTCCTTACCGTCCATTAAGATGTGTCTCCTCCGTCTATATCTTCAACTCAGCTGATGTTGTTCCACCTTTTCCCAGATTCTCTTTTACTCACCGTTGTTTCCGAACTGATCCAGGTCCACAGTAACAACATGTTCACCCGCGGCGTGAAGATCTTCTCCTCCGTGTCCTGTTGGTTTAAGCCCCACCTCACCGCCAGCTGGGAGCCAGAGCCGGTTTCCTTCGCCACCATTTTGGACGACAGGAACCCGAGCGCCCGTTACGTCACGGTGCCGCTAAACTGCCGCACCGCCAGGTCCATCCGCTGCCGCTTCTACTATGCAGACGTTTGGATGATGTTCAGCGAGATCTCCTTTCAGTCAGGTAATAAACTGGAAGCACTGGCGTACCTCAGGGCTGCGTGTTTAGTCCTCCACTTTTTACTGATTTACCACAAAGTTTAACATATGTTTTTTTCTTTTTCCGTACTAGAAGACATCATACTTCCAACACAACCACCCATGATGAGGACCTCTGCTCCAGGAGATGAGGAAAACACCATGACACCTTCACCAAAGCCCAGCAATAATACGGGTAAAACCACTCGCCTCCATACTTTAGGCACCTCATTCTCCCAGATGGTAGATCCCTGCAGAAACCTTCATGTTTCTTCAGCAGCCGCTCCATCAAACAGCAGCACTTCAGATGAGGGGAACACGCCCATCCTCATCGGCTGCCTGGTGACCATCATCCTCCTGTTGGTCATCATCATCTTCCTCATCCTGTGGTGCCAGTGTGTTTGCAAGGTGCTGGAAAAGGTAGATGAGGAATGATTTCTTGATTGATTTCTTATGAAATTTCTTGATTGATTTCTTATGAAATTGAAACTTAATGTTTCTGCTCCAGGCTCCTCGTCAGATTCCAGACGAGGAGATGACGGTCCGGCTGTCGTCCTGCAGCGACACCATAATCCTGCAGACCCCCCCGGTGCCTCCACGGTCCAGGCATCCTCCTGCAGGTAGAGTTTTACTTTAAATTAATCATATATTTTACTTCAGAGTGAAAATATCTTTAGACTCAGAGCGAAAAGCTTGCATAAATCTACGTGACCTGGCCTTTAAGCCTGATATTTGTTATGTTCTGAGCAGAAAGAGCAAACAGCTACATCATGTTTCTCACTGAAAAACAGATCTTTTCCTCCTCAGAGGCCTGATGTAGCCATGAGATGAGCCGTAATTGTTTTAACGGCCATCAGTGGAAACCTCTGGAGCTCAAATGGAGGAAATATTTGTCGGCAGAAGGGGAACGACACAGAAGTCATCTCTGTGACGGGGCCTCCGTCTGTCAGGACAAACGGTTTTCCAGCTGCTGGCTCCACTGCTCCCGAGGCTGGATGCAGATCCAGAGTGCTGACAGATGCATGTGGTCTTTATCTGCAGCAGCCTGACCAGCCGCTGATCCGCGGCTCATTCAGGAAGCGATAACAGTGACTGGAGGCCATGTTTGGCTCATAAATGGGCTGATGGGTGGAGCTTCCTCCCTCTGCAGGAAAGCTTGTATGTTTAGTTCAATGTTCCCTCAGGGGGGGTGTCAGTTTTTGGGGGGTGATGACATCTTTATCTGGATGGGATATCTGGATTCAGCCCAGTGGCTCACATGCTCTGCAGTTTGCAGGAGATAAACTTTTTCGAGGTTTTCCTTCAAATAGACTCAGGGACGTTAATTAGGGGACATCTGGTCTGATGAAGCTCAGGTGGAAGGGATTCACTGCATTGACTGTCGTCACATTCGGAGGAAAAAAGGTTGACGTTTGCAGCTTTGATGACATCATCCTGCCTGTGAGGAATGGAGGTGGAAGCAGAACGGATGGTTTCAGGAGGAAAGAAGAGGAGAAATATTATCTCCAACCTTTAGCATAGCAACGAGGCAGCTCTGAAGGAAGTCCGTGTTTCTTGCTGGCCGTCAGAAAGTGAACGGCGAGGGTCTGTGAGAAGGAGGTGGTCTGCAGACCTGAGCCACTTAGAGCGGTTCTATAGGGCCAACAGTCCAGAGAGCCATGGTGGGAAGTTTATGGAGGAAACCCCCCAAATATTAACTCTAGTTATCATGTTTAAAAACCGTGCTTCCCCAAAAAATGGGGGAAATGTAGATAAATCTCAGGATTTCTAAAGAATAAATTCAATGACAACAAAAACAGACTAAAACTGGATTTCATCACGTCTTTTATGAGGCTCATCTGGTGCAAACTAAAGCCTCGTTTGCACAGAAAGAAGTAATCAGACGAATCAAAATGTTTATTTCTCCAGTAGACGTATAAATCCTGCTGTTTAAAATCACTTTTGTAGAAGTTAGAGGATCAATTCAAGCTTTTTACTCCAGTAAAAGTTTAAAAGTACCATTTTTAACACTACTTAAAGTATAAAAGTAATGCAGGAAAAACTGTTTTACTGCTCTGCTCTATTAAAGGAACATTTTTCTACAATTCTGGATGAAGAAGAACTTCCTTAGACTTTATTTTCTTAGTTTTATAACTAATGGTAAAAGTGTCACATTTCACTTTGCATGATCTTGAAATTTTGAAAATTTATTTTGGTTTGTGGTGAACAACAAGTTGGGGCAGCACCACAAAGAAATTAATTGATTGGATGAAACATATTTTTTTGATGGATTTTAATTTTTTCAAATACCAACAGCTTAAATGAAACAAAACTGACAAGCTGATTTTTAAAATGTGAGTAGTAGAAAGTGAAAAGTTGTCTAAAATATAATGAATCCAGTAAAGTATAGAAAGCCAAAAAGTCTACTTAAGTAAGGAAAGGAATTATTTGGACTTTTTTATTTGACGCCACAGGAAATAATCAGAAAAAAATAGACTAATTTCCAACTGTCACATTTTGTTAATCTAAACAAAAATCTAATTTCTCCATTTATTCAATTTCTAAAGCAGATTCAGGCGTCTAATAAAGACCAAATCTAACATCCAGACATCTTTGGATGAGTTTTTATACTTTAGTTTACTCTCATGTATACATTTTGTAACTCCAACACTGCAAAAAATGTAAATCTAAATAAGTCATTTGTTCTTAAAATAAGTGCATTTTATCCTGAATTGAGGAGATAAATGAGACACTTTGCCAATGGAACACGACAATTTACATTTGAAATAAGAAAAATCAATTGCATTGTCTTATTTCAAGTGCATGTTATCTAATTAACTTATTTTAAGTGTAAAAATACTCATCCCATTGGCAAACTATCTTATTTACGTGGTCAATTTAAGGGTTAATACGCTTAATTTAAGACATTTTTACTTAATTTCAGATTGTTTTTGCAGTGAATTAAACATTAAAACTATTAACATTTCTGCTAATGTCTTCTGGAAGGATTTTTCATTTTGAGTATTAAAGGTTGTAAATAAACCTCCCATGTTTTCATAAATCCATCAGGAAGTTTCTAATTCTGGAAAATGCTGCAGTTTCCTTAAAAAGTTAATTAAATGTCTGAAAGATTCCCTAAAAACATCATTTCCTCCTCTGATAATCTGGTCCTTTAGGTCCAACCAACACTGATCCGCACTATGAGAGGGTCTTCCTGCTGGACCCGCAGTACCAGAACCCGGCGGTTCTGAGGAACAAGCTGCCGGAGCTGTCGCAGAGCGCCGAGGCCTCAGGTAAACCTGCCCACATGGAGCAGCCAGAACAGTCACCTGGAAACGATTGTTTGAACTCCACCAGCAGAACCAGAACCAGTAATCCACTTTAAACTGGATCCCAGCAGGATGCCGATGGGATTTTTCTTAGTTGTTAGGGAATTGACTGGTTTATTCAGTTTTTGCTAACAAATAGTTTGACTCATCCAGTCTCTTCTAATAGAACCAGGTATTTAGTTCTGGTCTTCATTTACCAGATATTTGAGAAATATAAGAGATAAATGAATAAATCTGCTGAAATTATTCTCCTTAAAGGAATAGTACACCCAAAACATGACTAGCCTTCATTTTCTACTCACCCCCATGCTGAACAACACTCTGGAGTACTTTTTTGATATCTCAAATGCATCTGGAGATCTGGGAGGCTTCTTGCTGTCTGCTGACATTCAAATAATGGAGGTCTATGGCGCCCGAGGCAGAAAGGTCCATAAAAGTCCACAAAAAACGTGTCAATATTCCTCCATACTGCTCGTCCAATGTATTCCAAGTGTCCTGAGTGGGTAGCATCCAGAATTTACTCGAAACGAAGTCATTTAGAATGTTTTTAGAGCATAAACAGTAGTGTATAGGATTTCCTGAAAGCGCGTTCACGGCGCTACGGAAACCGCGGCAGACCAAACCAGATGAAAGTGCGCATTCAGCTCGGCAAAGAACTCATGCTCTTCCTCAACACTGAAGTCCTCAGACATTTTTCTTTCGTTGTTTCTTTCTTTGCACAGGTAAACAGCACATTTCTTCTTCTACGCTTGCATTATCGGCAGAGCAGACGCTGAATGCGCACTTTCATCTGGTTTGGTCTGCTGGTTTCCGTAGACTCGTGAACGCGCTTTTAGGAAATCCTATACACTACTGTTTATGCTCTAAAAACATTCTAAATGACTTCGTTTCGAGTAAATTCTGGATGCTACCCACTCAGGACACTTGGAATACATTGGACGAGCAGTATGGAGGAATATTGACACGTTTTTTGTGGACTTTTATGGACCTTTCTGCCTCGGGCGCCATAGACCTCCATTATTTGAATGTCAGCAGACAGCAAGAAGCCTCCCAGATCTCCAGATGCATTTGAGATATCAAAAAAGTACTCCAGAGTGTTGTTCAGCATGGGGGTGAGTAGAAAATGAAGGCTAGTCATGTTTTGGGTGTACTATTCCTTTAAAGAAGCTTAAACCAAACTAAAGACATCCTGCTCCACTTCGCCCCCTGGTGGCCGTTAAAGGAGAGCATCAGGGTTATTATCGCCTCCTCTTCAGCCTGACTGTAGATACGTCCTTCATCAGTCCCTCTGTGGTTCTGTCTGTCTCCCTGTCCTCGTCTCCCAGCATGCCCATTCACGCTGCAGTGTTTCTCTCCTTTTCCTCCCAGCTCTCTCTGCCTCTTTCCGTGTCTCCTCTTCCTCCAGCGCTCTTCCTCGGTAACCCTCTCTATGACCTCTTCCTGCTGACTTCCTGTCACGACACGCCAGGATGGCTTCGCGGTAAGAGATGAAAGGTGTGACGTTTTGATCAGAGGACAGAGAATCCAGAATATCGCCTCAGAACTTCAGCAGAGAGTCTGACTCGATAACGAGTCGTCAGGCCACACTTTGATACCTCATTATTAGATTTTACTATCATTTATTCATATTTTACTGTAACAATGTTTCTATAACTGAGCTCTGACAGTTTTATCAGCATCACTGATGCCTCCTATCACCACATGAATATCTATTAATGAATATGTTTTTATGGTTTCAATCATAGATTCATTCTTTTGGTTTCTTCTAATTTTATTAAATAATCTATAATCAGAGGTTTAACCTTAACTGGTTCTGCTGCTGAACTAAATAAAGCCTGTTATCATCTCGCAGCTTGTGGGGGGGGCTACGCCGAGCCCGACATCACCCAGTGCACCCCCCACCAGTCCTTCAATAGCAACGCGCCGCACTACGCAGAGACCGACATCGTCCGGCTGCAGGGCGTCACCGGCAGCAACATGTACGCCGTCCCGGCGCTGACCGTGGACTCGCTGACCAGAAAGGACATCTCCGCCGCCGAGTTCCCGCGCCATCAGCTGATCTTCAGGGAGAAGCTGGGGGAGGGCCAGTTTGGAGAGGTGAGGGACGGGTTCAGCATCTCTGGAGGACCTCAGGAGGAAGATTCCTGCTCATCAGCTGCTGCTCTGCTGTGCAGGTCCATCTGTGTGAGGCGGAGGGACTCCCAGAGTTCCTGGGGGAAGGATCGCCCCTCCCTGACAGAGACGGGCGCTCGGTGCTGGTGGCGGTAAAACAGCTGAGGGCCGACGCTACGAGTCAGGCCAGGTGAGCTGCTTCCTCCTCCTCATCATCATCATCATCATCATATTATAGGATGGATTTAACCCAAACCAAGCTGATCAGAGCAGACAAACATCTGATACGTCTCAGTAAAGGAGAATTTAATTCATTTTAATAATTCAATTAAAATACTTCAAGTTTATGAATGAATAGTTTTACTAGTTTTACTGCAATGCAGCAAAGGTTTTTGGGTCTTATATAGTAGAGATATATTGCTAATTGGTCATAATATTAATACAGTTTAAAGACGCCGGTCCAGATTTTCATATCAGTGCATCCCTGGTTCTGATAGGACATCAGAACCTTTATAGAAGGTTGTTTCTTTATGGACCTGATGATGGCGCATAATCCTAGGAAAGAAGTAACTAGTTTACATGTAAAGTCAATGGTTTACCTGCATCAAGGTGCAGCAAACGATCCTGCAGCGCATTAGAGCAGCAGGAGCAGAGCCTCATGAGCATCGGTGGCACGTGAAGCGCTTTAGAAACAGCAGCTGCTGAAGTTGGAAAAATGTAACTTTAGCTGCATCAGCCAATCAGAGAAGCTGATCTGGGAGCTGGCAGGGAGTCAGACACAGCACTGCTGATGCAGAGCGCTATGATCACTCCTTTGAAACAGTTTATTAACGCCTAAATTAACTTCAAACGTAGAAACCTTCTGGCAGAATATGTTTGCTTTTATTATTCTGGTTCCTGCAGTTTGGATTACGTACGTGAAAAACTCCTTCCAGCTGCTGGGAATAGCAGCGGAAAACCATGAAGTGGCGAGCGGGCCTGAGGCAGCTGCTGCTGGGGATTCCCAGTGACAGCGCAGCGCCGGTATGTGGGGGTCTGAGCGGCTCCCACAGAGAAATAATCTTTGAAGGCAGGATGGTAATCTGGATGAACTGACTGCACAGACCATGTTTTCAGGAGGACTTTCTCACTTCAACATAGATTCTAACTACTTTCTACCCGCTGATCACAGCTAATAAAGCTGCCATTGTTCCAGGCAGAGAAAGGATAGGGTAGCTCCGCCCACCGTGCATCAGACCCACTTTACCACCGCGCAGCCAGAGCAGCAAAGACGCTTCAGCTGCACGTCAGAACTAACCTGAGTGAAGTTGGCCCCCCCACCTTCTTCAAATCAGACGAAATGGGTGTCAATTAACTCAGCTCCGTTTGTGCAGCAAAAACAGATGTTAACTGACCTTTAAAGACCTCTACAAAATATTATTAATATCATTGAAATGATAGCAGTACAAATGAAAATTGCCATACAAAAATATAAAATTTTAGAATTAATTTTACATATAAAATATTTAAAATAAATATATTAAAAATTTTAAAATGCATATTTTAAAGAATATGCATTTTTTGTACTGCTATCATTTTAATGATAATAATAATTGTTTGTGGAAGCAGCATCAAAGGTCAGTGAACATTTGTTCATTCTGAAACTCTGAATTTCATATAAATTATAAGTTGCTAACCTATGATTATATAATTTTGATAGCGGCACAAACGAAAATTTTTTCTGCACAAACGTTTTACATTAATTTTGTCTGATTTGAAGAAGGTGGGGGGGCAACTTCACTCAGGTTCAGAACTTAACTTGGACAAGCATCAAAAATGAAGCAGTGTGTGCGTTTTAGCTGCTCCTGCTGTGTGAGGTCTGAACGTAGCATGAGATTGGAAAGTTTAGTGGAAGGAAAAACTGGCCTAGAATCAAACTGCACAGTAGGGCTGACTTCAGCTAGGTGAAGCATCACTTCTTCTAGAGTTTTGGGGAGAATCAGAACAGATCAAACAACAGAACCTGTTCAGGACTACAGCTGCAGAAATCTCCTGAAACGCTTTCAAGATGCAGAGATTAAAGCTAATGGAGATCAGACCAACTGGTCACATCAGTGTCTGACCAGAGGAGCAAAAACCAACTTTAGATACAAACTGAAATATTTCCCTCTCTAATGAATCTCTGTCATTTCTGAGTCACAGTTTATAAACACATTTTCTAAAATCTGAAACATTTTAATAATAATATTTTATAATACATGGACTGGTTCCTGTCTGCTTCTGTTCTGAGTTTAGGTTCCGACTGAAGACAATAAGCTCTGAATATTTCTCCTCCCCTGTCCTCCTCCCCTGTCCTCCTCCCTCCTCTGTCCTCCTCTGTGTCCGTCCCTCAGGAATGACTTCCTGAAGGAGATAAAGATCATGTCCCGTCTGGACGACCCAAACATCATCCGGCTGCTCTGCGTCTGCGTCTCCTCCGACCCGCTCTGCATGGTGACGGAGTACATGGAGAACGGAGACCTGAACATGTTCCTGTCTCAGCGGGAGATCGAGAGCACGCTGACGCACGCCAACAACATCCCCTCCGTCAGGTGGCCCCTCCTCCTCCGGTCGTTATGTCCAACCTTCTGTCCTTCCTCCTCCTCACCCCTGACTCTCTTCCTTCCCTGCAGCCTGTCGGATCTCCTCCACATGGCGGTGCAGATCTCCTCTGGGATGAGGTACCTGGCGTCTCTGAACTTCGTGCACAGGGACCTGGCCACCAGGAACTGCCTGCTGGACCGCCGCCTCACCATCAAGATCGCTGACTTTGGCATGAGCAGAAACCTTTACAGCAGCGACTACTACCGGATCCAGGGCCGGGCCGTGCTGCCCATCCGATGGATGGCCTGGGAGAGCATCCTACTGGTGAGGAGGGGGGAGGGGTCCTCCATCTGAGGCCTATAGATTAGGAGTTAGCATCTGTCCGCAGATGTCCCTTAGTTCCCATGTTTTTTAAAAACAATCAGAGCAAACAATCCTTCAAATATCACTAATTATCTTTTTTATAGTTTCTACATTGTTTTAACAACTAAAACTTGCAGTTTGTTCATTTCCTTCCGGTTGTTCCTCCATGTTCCTACTTGTGGTGCAGATAGTAATGTGGAAAATCCTCTGAAAGGAAAACTTTATTCAAAGAATCCAAAATCCTGTTAAATAGCTGATCAGAAAAACCAATGAGGAACAAAGACAGACTGGAGGTATTTAAATTACTGAAAAATGAGCAAATCTGTGCTGGAAATATAACTGGTGCATCAACTTAAGCATATTTAGTTACTGAAAAGATGAATAGAAACTAAAAGATGCAAATTCTTCAGCAGAAAATAACTTTAGGGTAAAGTGAAAACTACTGTAAAGAAAATTATTTAAGTAAAAGTGAAAAAAATACATGGGAAAGTAAAAGTATTTTTGTAGATAGAAACAAGTAAAAGAAACTGTTTCTCTCTTCGTCTCTTTGGGTAAAATCAATTGAGGTAGAATTAGTTGAAAAGCCGCTTTAGAAAACCTGGAATTCAAACATTTCTGTCCAGAAGAACTCAGAGTAACACAATAGCTGTGATGTATAACACCATGCATCCTCTGCCGTGCTTTTGCAGAGAAAACTAGAAGTTCTTTCTGTAAGAAAACAGTGAAATATGTTCACTGTCTGAGAGGGAAACTTGATAACTACAATTCATTGGGTCCAAATCACCTACAAGCTAAAACTCTGCTTTCCCACCAATAAAGTAGAATGCTTTAGTGGTGATTTTGATTGATCACATATTTAGAATTAAATATAATAATAAATAAATATAGAAACAATAAATACAGAAATAAGCATCTCATCCATTTAGAGAAACTAAAGCATGAAATGGATTTCTTGTTTACAGAAATAAATCCATGTACAATCAGTTCTGCTCATATTTTAATTTGTAGCAAATAAAAATTAATCAGATTATTAAGAATAGTGAAAATATTTTTTAAAGTCTTGATTAAATAAAAATACTTAGTAAAGTACAGATCTTTAATAACATGTTGCTGCAGATCAGCTGAAATCTTAAAGGTTATCTTACAGTTATTTTGCATTAAAGGACTGCCTGCCGCGCTGTGATTGGTCCGTCTGTTTTGAGCCTTACTGGCTGACTGGCTGACGTGAAGCAGTCAGTCAGTCTGGCCTGGCTAGAACAACGAATCTCTTCAAAATAAAAGCGCTGCCATTAATTTTTTTCACTCCCTTCATTGTTAAATTTAAGTTATATTTTTAGTATTTTGCAAGAAAAATCAACAATCTTATCAGTTTAAATATTTTACATTTTCTTTCATTTGTTTACTCTAGATTTATTTTTTTTATTCTTATTATTTCATCATATCCAGCTCAAACATTACACTCAATTTTTTTTTATTTATTTATTCTTGTAGAAAACATTTATGTTGCTCTTATAAAAAAATCTTTTCATTTATGGTTCTATATTTTGTTTATGAATCTATTCTTCAGTCCGCACTAATCAGTTTCTGTCAGTCAATAGTCTGATAACTGTGAGCTGGTTCAGCCCCCAGTGGATGAATAAAGGTTCAATAAGGAAACTTATTGATAAGGAAGCTTCCTTCCTGTTAATGAAGTTGGTTGAATTATTATGAATCTGCTTTTTTTCAATATATAATGGGTGAATTTTTAAACATTCACCGTCATCCATCTAACCTAAGTCTGGTAAAAAGCCACAGCCAGGAGGAATCTGACATATCAGAGAAAAATCAGCTGCTGATGAAATCATGAATCTAAACTCAGCAACACATTTCTGCTGCATTCAGAACTAAAGTTTGTTCTCCTGAAATGAGAAGTTCTGAAGGTTCTCCTGGTTCCTCCAGGGTAAGTTCACCACTGCCAGTGACGTGTGGGCATTTGGCGTGACGCTGTGGGAGATCTTCACTCTGTGTAAGGAGCAGCCCTACAGCCTGCTGTCGGACGAACAGGTCATCGAGAACTCCGGCGAGTTCTTCCGGAACCAGGGCCGACAGGTGAGACGGATCCGCTCAGAACGGAACCACATTCTTTCTCTAAAGAGCTCTGATGCAGGGGCGGATTTACCATTACGCAAAACTAGGCGGATGCCCAGGGCCCCGAGTTCCTGGGGGCCCCATAAACCTCCTTTTACATGTATGGTACTACAGGTATTTCTCATTTATGCACATTAATTATGTTTTTGATAAAAATCGTTTCTCTAAAATGCCATCAGAACCAGCAGGGGCTGGTGGAGTTTTCTCCAGGGGGCGCTATAAATCCAAAATAGATTTACACCAAAAACCAATCAATCATATACTAAGTTTTCACACCAGTATATTTATATGAATGCAAACAACAAAAACATTACAAAAACACTTTATAAAACAAAACATAATTTCAAAATAAATCTTTCCCTTCTAAGGCTGTGAAAGTAAATCTGTGTTTCCATGCTCCAATATGGCGTCACAAAGCTAAAAACATAATGTACCAGTTTAATAGTTTAATAAAGGAGAAGCGTTTTATATATTTTTAATATATAAAAACTATTTACTTTCTGAGAATGTGTTTATTTAAGAGAAACTATGCAAATGAACAAAGATCTAGAAAAAGTAGATTATATTCTATTATTTTCCATGTGAATCCCAGATTGTTCATTATTTTTCTAAAGAGTGCTTTGAATCAGTCCTAGCTGTCTTTCTCCATGCTGGCTCAGATCCTAACTAGGGATGCACGATATAATCGGCCCCCTATCAGTATCGGCCTTAAAACTGAATATCGGACATCGGCCACCCCACCGATATTTAACCCGATATTTGATCAGCTTCTGAGTTTCTAAAGTCAAAAAAAAAAAAAATACTACTTCTTCTTCTTCTTCCTCAAAAACTTCTTTTTTACAGACTAAAAAACTTCTAAA